GGGAGGTAGATGTGGCCTTGGCATTCCTGGACTGAGAACTGGGCAAAAAGGCTGAGTTAAGCAAGGCCCCAGAGAGGAAAAAGGCCTAGCCACACACCTACCCCCAGCAGCTGCCTCAACTCTAAGGGAGGCAGTGGGCTTTGTAGCCAGAGAAAAGAAAGTTGGAATCTGGGATCTAACACCCTAGGTATGGCCTTAAGCAAGTTAAACTCTCAACTTTGGTTTGCTTATCTATAAAATGGGAGTAACATTCACTTGAAAAGCACACAGTACAAACTCAATAAAAGGTAATTTTGATGCTTTGGTATGGAGCTGACTTCCTATAACCACTTTCCGCCACCTTAAGCAAGACAGGGAGGTCCCCAGGGCACAGGCTAAGAAGGACTAGGGGCCTTCTCAGGCAGGCTGGAATAAGCCAGGGGAGACCCTTGGGAGACCCAGATCCAGCTTTACCCCTTGCCTCTGTATGACTCGGGGCCTTTCCAGGAGCCAGCCTTGCCTGGTACAGGGGTAGCTCCTAAATTTATAGTTCATGGGCCTGAAAGGCTGTGTTTAATATTGGAAACAAACACAAGGCTGCACACCTTTTTATTTGCCAAGTCCTTAAAAAAAATAAAAAGTCATTAACTAACACTGTCATATCATCAAAGAAAAACGATTTAACACCCAAAAAAAATGTAGGACAGAATTTTGGAACAAAGGATTGTTTAAAAACTTTGAATGAGTTTACCTTTACAAAACACTCACTCCCTTTTCCTCCTGGTTCTCATGCTGCTGTGGGCCAGGAGAAGCCCTGTCCCAGCCCAGCATCCACTCCTGCTGGCATGCAGGATCTCTGGGGGTCAGCTGGCTCCTACAGCTACCAACAATATACTTAACGTATCTAAACCTCAGTTTCTCATCCGTGAAATGGGGATAATTAAAGGGCCAACTTGGGGGTTGTTGTATAGATTAAATTAGATAATGCATGTAAAGTAGTTAACACAAGGGCTCAATAAATGATCCATATTATTTCCAGACTCTGAAATGCTGCCACCTTGGGGCTAGTATCCCTCCTCATCTCACACAAGGGCTCTGGTTCCTCCCCACTCATTCAAATGCCAACCTCTTCCACTTTGCTGTCCCCTCAAGACCCTTCCCCAGACCTTTTCTGAGGTTTCCAACCACTGATCAGTTTCTCCTCTGGGTCTGCCACAACCCAGTTCCCTCCAAGAGAGATACAAAGAAGAGTCTTCCTGAAGCCCCAGCCCAAGGATCTGGGCAGGGGCTAGAAAACAAAAAAGGAATCATAAAGAGGAGATGACAAGGAGGTGCTGACAACTCAACTGCCTATATATGTCCAGCCACAGAGTTAGGACAGCAAGCACTTGCTGGGCACTCTTCGCTGTGCCAGATGCCTGTTCCATGCACTTTACGTGGATCAACATATTCAATTGCCATCACAACCCCATGAGTGTTGCTACCAGCCTCACTTTACAGACAGCAAACTGGGGCAAAGAGAAAACACGTAACTTGTTCAAGTTTACCTGGCTAACAAATAGTGGAGGTGGGGGCTGGGTGCGAGTCTGATTTAATCACCATTTAATCCTGCTCCTTCCAACACTGCAGCACTCTCATCCAGTCAATCGATTGATCGGGTATTTAAGGGGCACTTATCATATGTGCAGCACTATGCCAGAAACTATAGGGTAAAAGAGAAATTAAGACTTAGTCCCAGGATATGAAGAGGTCCTGGGTGGGGGGAAGCGGGGCTCCCTGCCCCCAGCTGCCCGGAGAACCAAAGGCAGAGCCAGGACAACCAACCACTCAGCTATGGGAAAAAGAAGAAGTGAGAAGGCCTGGACCATTCCTCCTCCTTCTGATAGGGTTCTCTGGAGTCCAGGGCTGTGGCGCTACTGAGTACTTGGTTCAGGCCCTCCCTTTGGGTCTAAGTGAGCAGGAGACAGAAAGTGGAGTCCAGTCAAGGTCAAGGAGAGAAGGGCCCAGTACCCTGGCTCCTGCCATGTCTCCCCTGCCTCTTTGCCAACCTCAACGGCAGAAGTGGGCTGTCTGGAGAGTGTGTGTCGTGTGTAGCACAGGGAAGGGAGAGCCCGGCTACTCTCCCAGGCCCCAGGTTCCTGCCAGGATGTAGTTGTACTCAGGGAGTTGAATACTGGGAATTTAGGGGGCCCTCAGGCCTTTTCCCCTTCCCCTCTACTCCTCTCAAAAGCAGTGGCAGGAATGCCAGGGGAGCTCTGGGGGCTGGAAGGATGGGTTTGTGTCCTACCCCCACACCCACCCCGCCTCTGGAGGCAGCTCCCGCCCCGAGCCGGCCTGTCATCCCACATTGCTCTGATTAGCTATAATCTTTCTTTTTCAATTTCTCCTCCCTGAGACTAGGGAGCGAGAAAATCTCCCAGAAAATGAATAAATATTTCAATTTTCGGCGCAATCAGTCTGAGGAGCCGGCGCATGATGGAAACGGGGGGAAGGATAATGGTTTTCATTTAGATAAGATACAGAAAATTATTTAGTGAAAAATGAAGATTGATGAAGCCCATTGAAATTCTTTAGAATGCGATTTTTATTCTCAGCCTAGGCTGAATCTCCCCTTCCCCTCTCCGCTCCCCTCAATTCTATGTCCTTCCCCTACAACCTACTCTCCCCCCATTTCCTCTCCACTGTCCCTCATCCCCCCGCCCTGCCCCCCTTTCCCCTCTCACTGGCCCAGTCCCTGACCTAGAGCCCTAGAACCCCCTTCTTTCTAAGGATGGAGACTAAGGAGAGGGAGTCCCGCCAAGCCCCCTCCCCCATGTGTGCCCCAGTCTCCCCAGACCCCTAACTCCTTCCCTCTCTGCCTCCTCCCAATCCCTTGCTGAGCTCCCCCCAACACTCAGTTGTCATTTCCTCTCCTCTCCTGTCTATTTTCTCCCTGTCTTTTCTTTGGTATCCTCTCCCCCACCCCAGATACTTGTTTCTACCCCTGTTCAGGTCTTGCTTTCACCCCTGTTCCAGGCAGGGAGGTGGAAGCTCAGTTTACCCTAACCCCTTCCCCCTTTCCAAAGGGAGAAAGAGAGAAACACACACACACACACACACACACACACACACACACTTCTTTCTGTGCCCGATTTAATCCACATCTCTCCTGTTTGCTAACTGCAGCTTTTGTTCCTTAACACTCATTTGTATCCATGTTGCTAACATGTGAGGGCTGCAAGAAAGGGGCAGACACAAGCTCGCCCCCAACACATACCAGTACTGACCCAGCGGCCCCCTCCACCACCACCATGGCCCTCCCTCTGCCCTCCTCCAGCAGCCTGGCTGAACAAAGTCAGAACTTAAGTCATCTTCCCAACTTTCTGCCAAGTGGCTGGGCTGGCCTGGCCTGCCAACCTCAGGGCCAGGCCTCCCCCTTTCCCCCAGGCACTGCCTCCCGCTCTTGGCTCACACTGAGGACCTGTGCCCTTCCCCTGTCTTAAGTGTGTGTTGAGGGGGGCCTGGGTGCCCTGTGGGGAAAGATGAATCCAGACCTGCCCTCACCAACTCAGCCCGCTCTGCCTTCAGAGCTGGGGAGGGGCCTGGCAGGGAGGGGAGGGGTCCGGCACAAACACCCCACCCACAAACCCAGGAAGGGAGCCGGGAGCAAGGCAGTCATGCCTGGGCTGTTCTACCAAGCTGACCTCCCAGATTCCTTCTCCCCCCCAAAAAAAGAGACCACCTCCTCCATTTTGTAGCCTGTACATCTCCATAGGTGTCTGCCTATATGAATGTCTGTTCAAGTTTCTTTGTTTGCTTGAGGGTTGGTATCTGTGGAAGGGTTTCTCTGTGTATGTCGTGTCCTTGTAAACGCCTGCCTGTCATACATGTACTGTGTGTATGAGTTCTAATGCTGGGGTGTGTGAACGGGAGTGTGTGCCAGTTTGGGGGAGGAATCTGTCTTCCTCAGATGTGTCAGTGTCTTTGTGTATATGTGTCTGTCTCAGCGTGGGGGGTGTTTGTGGGTATGTCTCTGTCTCAGTAGGTGAGTAGTCTGTCTCAGTGTCTGTGGCTGTTTCACGGTGGTGTGTGTCAATTTCTGTGTCAGCTCCATTTTGGGGGAGGTGGAGGGGCTCCGCAGGGTTAAATCTTCCTTAGAGTCAGACCCCGGAGGCTGAACCCACTCCCCCAGACCCCAGTCCCAGCTGGGCCCTTGGTTCCCTCGTCCCCGTCCCTCCCCCGCTTCCCCAGCCCTGCCCAGGATACACCAACATCCTCATCCCTCTCAGCCACCTCTCTCGCCTCCCAGCCTCTCCCCTGCAAATTCCAAATAAGCCCCAGACATCAACACTTTCCCGACCCCAAGTGGGGTGTCAGTCCCTCTAGAGCTCCCCCTCCATATCAACCCAGCCTGAAGCTGTATTTAGGATTCCACTCTCCGCCCAAAGCCTCACAGGCAGGGGTTCCAAACCCCCACCAGAGGCCCCAAGGCGCCCCTCCCTTCCTCCAGAGGGGGCAGCCCCAGGCAGTCTGGAGCCAGGGTTCAGACTCAGGCCCCCCAAGGGCTGGGCTGGAGAGGGGTATCCCTTCCGCAACATTTTTGGAAGTGTGGGACCCAGCTTTCCTTGCACCTCGACCCCCCCAAATCCAAAAACCAGCCTTCGCCTTAGCCAGGACCCCGGTGTCCGGACCCCCGGCCTTAGAGGGGTAGGTAGGGCTGCCGGAGGCTCCGGGAAAGACTTTGAGCGTACGAGTCCCTTTTTCACTCCGACCTCCAGCCCTCGCGGCCCCAATTCCCGGTTCTCCCGCGCAGCCAGAGGAAACAACTTGGGCAAATCAACGGAAAACTCATTCTCGCCAGCCCCGGCTACTCCGCGCCCCCTCCCTCAGGGCTCCGCGCGCGTACCGAGCCCCCGCCTCGTGGCGTCTGGACCCCGGCGACCGGCCGCGGGCCGCGGGGCACCCGGAGCTCCCCCGGCGGGGGCGCAGTCCCCCGGGCCCTGGGGGGAGCCGAGCGCGCGGGGGCGGGCGGGGGCCCTTACCTTGGGAGAAAGTATCGGAGAGAGTGAGGATCCAGACGAGGAGGCTCAGCATGCTGCCCGCCCGCCGTGCGCCCGCCCGCGGCTGGGGCCCGGAGTTGGCGAGGGAGCTGGAGGAGCGGGCTGGGGAGGAGGGGAGCCCGGGAGCCCGCCCCCCGCCCGCCCGCGCCCGCCCCTGCACACACACACACACACACACACACACACACACGCGCGCGCACACACACACACAGAGGCACGGGCGCGCGCGCACACTCACGCGCACAAACTCAATTCCCTTCCCTCCGTTCCTCTTTCTCTCCCTTTCCTCCTGGTCCTTCTTCCTGTCCTGTTTCTCGCCCCTACCCGCCCCCAGCCCTTAATTATTTCTCGACTCTAGCTTTATCTCTCTGGGTCTCTCTTTCGGTCTCTGTGCCGCTCTCCCTTTCTCTCCCCTTCTCTTCCTTCCCTCGCTCCCTCCCTCCCTCCTCCTGACGTCTACTCTCCCTCCGACGGCGCCTCCCTCCGCGAGCCCTCCCCCGGCCCCCCCAGCGCGCGCGCACACTCACCCACACCCCTCGCAGGGGCTGCGATGGAGCGAGAGCAAGGAGAGGGAGGAATCGAGGGCAAAGGGGTAAAGAACGCGACAGTCGCGGGCCCCGGGGCAGGGGCGGCGCGACCCCTGCCCACCCGCACCCCCTCCCATGTATAGACACGATCTGGGTCTCTAGGGCAGTGGAACTTAGGAACTAAGCAGAAGAGTGTTTGTGCAGGGGGTGCGGTATGGGCTGAGGATGAGCGTCTAGCCCAGAGGATGACTGGGTTATTGGGGTGGGGGGAGAATGAGTGTTTTTCGGGTTTTGCCTGGGGGGAGGCAGGGAGTTAAAAAAAAACACAAAAACATAAAGATCTCTCTCCCCCCTCCCTCTGTTTTTAATCCCACACCCGGAATCTAATCCCTAGTTTCCCCAAATCAAGAATTCCCAGTTGACTAGTGAATGCTTGACGGGGGAGGGGCACGCATTCCTCTCCCCACCTACAGAACCCAGAGCTGCTTCTTGGACCAGCCTTCAGCCCCTGCCCCGAGGGTCCGCTCAGCTTCCGCGGGGCCAGGCTAGGTACTGGGAGCCCTCAGCTGCCGGGAAGAGGCACAGCTGCCTCGGTCCTTTGTTCATTTCAGGCACCTACCCATCCAGAAGGAGAAGCCAGCCAGCTCGACGGCGGGAAGGGCCAAGGCCTGGCCTGGCCTCTCTGAAGACAAGACGGAGGAGAGGGCGCCCCCAAGATCTCTAAGCACCCTGGAGTTTGAGATCCTTCGGGGTCCAGAGATCTAGGAACTGGAAAGTAGGGGGGAATTCCTGGAGAGAGTAATGAGAACGTCCAGGAGGGGATCTCCGCTTTCTTAAGGGCCCACTTTGGCGACCAGCACCTCTCCCAACCCCTAACTCCATGCTTCTGCTCCTAGGGTCTATGGGGGTGCTTGGCGGTCTGGGCGCTGGGGGATGAATCGAGGGGAAATAACAGAGGAGTCACAGCAATTGCACAATTTTACAGTAATGCGCTGGTCTAAAGAGGTTTCCACCTCTTTTCCTCCCAGATTCTAGGTTTCCTGGGTCTCTAACCTTCCCCGCCAAGACTTCTCCATTTTGGCCCCCGAAGCTAGGCGCGTGGCTCTCTGGTGCCCTCTGCTGATGTGTGGCAGCCACAACTCCTCTTTCCTGCAGGGATCCTGACGCCAGCCACGGGTGGGGGCCCTGCAGCCTCAAGGCCACATGTTACCCTCCGGATCCCTAAGTGCGGCCCCCAACGGAATCCAAACTTCGCAGAACAAATCCCCTTATTAGAGGGATTTGTTCTTTAAAATTTGGATTCAGTCAAAAAGCCACACTCAAGGATCCAGAAGGCCACATGTGGCCCGGAGGCCGCAGGTATGCACAGACCCAGAGAATCCTTCCTACATGTGAAAACACATATGCACAGGCAGACGCATAGTTTAAGAAGAAAGAGCCATGCCTAGCCCAGAGAAATAGGAATGCAACCCAAGCACACAGACACGTAAGGGCTTTCGTTTATTCACTTGTTAATCATATATTCCACAGATATGTCTTCAGTGCCTGCTATGTTCTAGTCACAATTCTAGGCTTTGGGGATCCAACAATTAAAAAAACTGACAAAGTCCTTCCCTTTTAACATTCTGTTACAGAGGAGAGGAGAGGCTGTAGAAAAATATAAAACACCCAGGTTGTGATAAATGCCTTGGGAGACAAATAAAGCAGGATGAACGGAGTGGGGAGTGGAATGGGGAGTGGGAGGGATGAAGGCATTGATGTCCATGTAGGTAGCCAAGGAAAGCTGCCCTGCTGAAGTGACATTTGAGCACAGACCTGAAGGAACTATGGGATTCAGCCCTCAGGTATCTGCGGGGAGACTGTAACAGGTGAGCACTAATACAAGTGCAAAGGGCCTGAGGTAGGGGTGCTCAGGAAGTATCAGTAAAACAGGCTTTCCTCTTTCCACTCTGCCTGAAGGTACGTGGAGGGGGGGGGGCAGGTGACCAGGATTTAGGAAGGTGTAAAAAAGAAAAAGGCCCTAAGCCAGGGAATATTCTTAACTTAGTGCTTCTTGCCCAACTTCCGGATTCTGATAATGTGGACTTGATAGCAACTCTCTGTGTAAGGAAGGACTGGGATATCCAAATCTTTTGGCTTCCCTTGGGCCACCCTGAAACCCTAGAAACAGAGGAGCCAGGTTTTTCTAGCTCTCTAACAGCCAAAACAGTAACTCCACCTCTCTCCCCTGGTCTGTTGACTTTCCTTCCCCTTCTTTCTTTAATTCCAAATTCTCAACAGTTCAGTCCATAGCAAACTCATTTCTCTAGAATCCCTTCCACCTAAGCCACCCAGCATCCCAGATCCCGGAGCTTAACTCCCCATCCCCAGCCGGTGGTCCTCAACACCAGCTGTGCAGTAGAATCTCCCAGAGGCTTTTAGAAAACAGCAGTGCCCTGGCCTCACCCCCGAAGATGAATTGTTCTGGGGTGAAGTCCAAGCATCAGTGTTTTTAGACATAGCCCCAGGTAATTCTCATGGGCAGCCAGGGTTGAGAACCTCTAAGCTAAGCAACCCCCCTTCTTCCCAGGGCTTTCCAGGCATTGCCTTCCACAAGGTGCATGCCACAGGGTCCCCTCTCTCCTCCCTCCACTAGCATTTCTTCTGCTTATTGCCAGCCTTGTATCGCCCTCCCCTCCTGAGGGTAACCCCAATTGAGCGCCTCCAACTTTGCTCCATTCTCATCTCTCTAGCACTAATGTTCCCAGTGTTGTCTAACTGAATTAACTTAAGTGTCCCAGAATCTAATAACATAACTCTTATCAAACTGGGGACATCCTGGGCCAGACAGAGTCCCTAGTATCAGGCAAGTTCTCTGAAGACAAAGCCTGTGTCTTCTCCATGAAATGGGACATACCTCCCTAGGACAGGACATCCCTGGGGGCATGTCCCCTCAGTCTGGAGCTCCTTCCCCAGCAGAGAGGCACAGAGTGGTTGAGAGCCAACCACATGGACACTGAAACCAGACCGAGGGGTTCGAATCCAAGCTCTACCGCTTACTTTCTGTGAGACTTTGGAGAGTTTACATACCTAACCTCTCTAACTCTTGTTTTTCTTTAATCTGAAAACAGGGGTAATAATAGTACTTTATGGGACCGTTGTGAGAACTGAGTATAACTTTTTTTTTTCTTTTTTTTTGAGACAGGGGTCATGCTATGTTGCCCAAGCTGGTCTTGAACTCATGGCTCAAGGGAACCTCCCACCTCCGCCACCTGAGTAGCTGGGACTACAGGTCATGCCACGGAGCCCAGCTTGTTGTGAGGGTTGAGTGAGTCAATATTCATACAGCTCTTAGAAGAGTGCTAGGCACACAGCGACCGCTCGGTAAACGCTAGCTGTGATTATTTTGGGGTTTGGAGCTCCCCAAAGCAGGGACCTTTTGAATCTTCCTCCTGCAGATTTGTCTTCACCTCCATGCACAGAGCCCTGCCCAGGCAGAAGCATGCGGGTGTGCAGGTGGCGGTAGTAATCCCTAAGGATGCTACTTCACCTAGAAAAAAGGAGAGACACGGCCAAAGGTTATACATGGAGCTAAGAGAAATATTAATAATTTTTTGAGTACAAAAGCAAAAAGATCGAGAGGTCAGGGAGTGAGCAGGAAGGCAATTTATGACCATCAGCAGGAGAAGCCACCTTGAGAGACAGAAATGAATTCTTTGTCTCAATGAGGGCTAAAAGCGGCAGAACAGTTCTATAAATTGTCCACTTTCCCCCTAGAGGGGGTAGAGGATTATGTCCCTGCTGCTTACCAGAGACAGAGGAGAGAAAGGCCGAGATCCTGATTTTCAGCTTGGAAAATAATCCTGACCCTAAAGGAGACCTTGATCCCCGAAGGGTAAAGGCTCTGGAGTAGTTGCTTTGTCTCTTCCCCAGCTGCAGAGCTGTATTCCAGAGCAGTGGCAGATGCATCCCTTCTTCAAAAGTCCTTCCATCAAACGGGGCTCTTCCTCATTCCTTCTCCACTTTTCTGTCTGCTTATGCAGATAATAGGCCTTGCGATTTCCCGCTGTTCTACCAGTCCATTTTCTCTCGTGCTCCTTTTCCTTAATACGCTCAGCTTTTGCGATGTGTAAGAGTAAGGGCAAAGGCAAGGGCCTGCCTTAATGCAGTGGGGAGAGACTCTAATCTGCACTGTGAGGGGAGAGTGAGGCAGCAGGAAGAAGAGCACCCGTCAAAGCACCCTGGACCACTCCTGAGTGGCCAGGGGCCCCTGAACCTGCGTCCGGCCGGACCGGCCTCTCTGTAAAGAGTACCTGGCTCTGCAAAAGGAGTGAGAAGAGGGATTCTGGGCCTGGGAACTGCTGGTTCCTCAGTTTTGCCACCTGTGCTTGATGTCTTACCAAGGACCAGTGGTCTCAGCAGTTGACATGATATTTGTCCACCCCCTTCCCACATCTGTGCAGGGCAAAGAACACATTCCGAGGGGGCCTGGCGCCCTGGTGCGTTTAGGATATGAGGCTTCCAGAAGGAAGCTCAGCAGAAACTAGGCACCCTGGGCAGTAGTGAGGTTAGTAAGTGGCCATCCTCAGCCTCCTCCAGAAGGGGACAGGGGACCAAAGAGGT